GGCGTTATATATTGTCTGCGCTCTGAGTGATCTTCGGCTCTCTCTCTCTCGCAAATCCCGGCGCTAGGGCGGACTGTACTTTAAATGCTTGAAATATGTCATTCCGAGAACATCAGCAACCAGAGCGATAAAAGGGATAATTGTAAATATGGGCATTCTATCTGAACGCTACAAGTATGTAGTAGTGTCTTTTTTTTCTCTTCGAAATTTGCTTTAGAAAGGGCCTTGAGTCAGTCTAACGTTACATGACTAAAACGAACTTAATGAAGACGGTCATCCGTCCCCTGCTATGACTTTTTGCTCGATCAATACTCAAGCGTGCCTTGCGTGGTCAGCGAGCATTCCGTCAGGGCGTTTAAAGCCCTAGCTTGTGTGAGGTTACGTTGTGTGCGAGATTGTCATTGTACAGTTATTTTCCCTGCGTGCACACACCAATTGTGTCTGCGATACTGGCACTTTTGTCAGTGCCAGGCTTTTGTTTAAGTGAATTATTTGCTATTCACACGTTTTCAAATAATATGTCAGATTATAATCAAGGCGAAATTGTTTGATACACTTGCAACTTCACAGTTGCATTTTCCGGGATTTAATTTTTTTCCCCACTTGCCTGAATGTAGACAAAAAAATGCACGTTTTCGGAAGACATTTTCAGTGCTCATAAAATCAGAGGCAGAATGTTCGTTTAGTCTGTTGATTCTATTTGTACTTAGGGCGTCTACCGTTCTACTTTCGCAACCTGCGTTTGCAGGTCTGCACTGATGCTTTCTGTTGATTTGACCAGCGCGGGTGATTTTGGCGTGGGTAGCGGTATGAGAGAGAGTTTCGCTTTCGATGTATGTTCAATGTCTACTATATTCCTACATATGATTTTAAAATCAACCTGAAAACATAATGCCAGCGGGTAGTATTAAAACTAGTCTCCAGCCGACGTTCTTCTGTATTTTGTAATCAAAATCGAAAGTCCTCTAAGATAGTGATGAGCTTCTGCTGCCGGTATGATTAAGCAGATATTCTTCTAGTTTATCTTTATCTTTGAGAATTAATAGTGTCTATAGGCATGAACGGTTCATACGCTTCCCAGTTAAGCATAAAATGCAGTGAAACTGCCCGCATGTTTTCTAGCGGACGATCTTTCAACTATATTTGATTCAAGTGTGATTAAATTCACGGCTTTTGGCGCGCCTTCGTAGCTCATTTGGTAGAACGTTGGCCGTACTAAAACCTTCCCTGCTGATGTGGGTTCGAACCCCACCACAATTATTCAAATCTGCCGAAACCCCCTAATAATAATTGATTTTGACTCAAAATTAAAATGGTGATCCAAATATTTACACAGACAGTGGTAATAAGTAAATTATATTGAGTCAGCTGACGATAACGACTAAAAGAGTTTTGTAACGCTTCTAATCTTGTACAAGAAATAGCAGAATCTTTCTTTATCTGGATCTCCTGAGCAAAACATTTTGCATATGCCAATGCATGGGTCAGTTTTTTGACAGGTATCTATACATTAGGAAGTTTATGCAATTAAAAAGAAGAAAGACTGAATGGAAGGGCGATCGAAAAATTCACTAGCGCATCATAAAAATAGTCATGATCCTGAGACGAATGAGACTTAATCCAGGGAGAACAGTCTCATTGGTCTGGCGTTCCGGAATCATTCTCGAATATATCCTCATAGACAACACCAGTACAGATAGTGAAGCCACAGACTCTATAGTATATGCAATTACACTCACCTGGTAGAATTAACGGCTCACGCTTTCACAGTAGATGTTCATACGCGGTAAGATGATAGCTTGCTCCCACCTCTAGAACCTTCGTTGGCTATTGACATAATACTAACGCCCCAGCGCTGACCCTGCTAACGAATTTTACCGCCAGGCTTTCCCATGTAACTCGTCTCTCTGAACAGGAGGATTTGTAACACTAAGTAAACAAAGGGAGCTGAATAACTGTTTGCTCTTATGGGTTGACTGACACTGAAATCCTGCCTTAAACAGCCCGCGTCTCATCTGATGACCAACTTTGCAGAGGATGTCAGTGTCGTTGGACTTGAAGATGTGGTTGAGTCCCTATTTATGGGTCGGAGCTCGATAGCTGATGTCACCCCTCCTCTCTGCTGATGCTTGCTTGACCTACTTACTTTGGATGTTTACTCTTCCAGTTTCCAGACGTAGTTGCTTTGCGAAAACATGCAATTGATTCAGTAAATGCCTCCCAACGTTTACTGCCTTGACAGCTGATCTTTCAGTCTCGGTACCTGATGGCTGACGTTTATGCAATCGCGACTCCGTTTGTGATGTGCGAGCGGCAGACGTATTGGAATACGCAATAAAATCTAGCTGATAACGTTTCACGTGTAACCACCCTCATGCAAAAGCAATTTCAGTCTTCTGACCTTCCTCTGCTGATAATTGCCATGCCTGTCATCAGCACTAGTAATAAAATCGCCACATTATCAGGCTTCGACGAGGGCAACAAAAGACAAATATCACACAAAGTGCAGACAGTTGAGATAAATGTGGGAGCTACTAATTGTGATCGGTGTATGTTTGCGTAGGAACGGAATGCCACAAGGATTGCACACGGCCCACACAGTCCACTACCCCTTCCGTTGTATTTTTTTATAATGTAATTGAGAGGAGATCTGAAGCGCTAGATGGCGAACCAGATCGCTTTTGCAACTACCTCCCTAAATTTGCTTTTTCCTGTGTACCGACGATAACATAGTTTAAGAATATTCATGGTACCATTCCAATGGGAGGCTGAAATGAATCCGTATCAGTTGCTAATAGAGGATGGGATCTGAAGGAACTCAACCCTAGAGCTTACTGGAATTCGAAAATCCACGGTTCCTAGCCTTTTGCATGGATACTCACTTTTTAACTTTCACAAGGACACGAGCTAGCTGGATGAGTTAATCGATATTTTAAAAACCAATATAATTAGTGAACCTGGAGGGATTTACTGTAATAATTTCATAATAAAGTCCTCAAACATCCATCAAAAGTATAATGGACGTCTGACTCAGCTCACCTTCAAATAAGCCGGATTATTTTTAAAAAGAAGAGCGGAAGGTGCTGATTTTGAATGTCTTTACATATTCTTTACGAGCGCTCTAATTATCTGCAATCTAATATCAAACAGGAATTTATGCACACATTTTATTTAGTCCTGACGATCTCGCCAGAAAAAAAAGAAAACAAGAGGTTATTTAATAAAGACACGGCAGCGCCTTTGGGAAAAGAAACAGAAAACGTGCTGGAAGTGAAAAGGGAGTGAATTCAAAGGCCATAAATTATTGTGTTTTGGTTTGGTTGTTTTTACAAGTCAGTTTTTGTTTCTCAGTCTATAAACAGCCACACGCAGCGGACT